AGCCCTATTACTTCCCTTTCCCCAGTTAGCTTCAGTTTCTCTTCCTGTTTGTAATTTGAAGAGCAGGCGAGTCAGGGCCTCATTTATGATTCCTTCCTCCGAACGTGCTTGTTAAGTGAACACTGTAGTTTCAAATATTGTTTAATTGATAACTTGACTGCAAGGGGCAAGTACTGTGTGACGACACTGTACTTAGCACTCCTGCTTGATATTCAGTAGGTCTCGGACTGGGGACCAGCTATACGGACTCGTGTCTTGTGGTTTTCTTCAGTGCCTCCACTTAAGTGTCGGGATGCTGCCGTCATGGCCATATCACGTCACATCCATTCGAATTTATTCTTCCTTAATAATCTTGCGCTGATCACGGTAGCCGAGCCGCCTAAGGCATGCACTGTCTTCGCTCCCTCGGAAGCCGGGATCGTGGGTTCGGATCTGTTTCCTGTGAGGTACGAACTGAATTCTTATATATTATTCTCATACATTGCCGGTCACTGTAGCCGAGCGGTCTAAGGCATGCACTGTCTTCTCTCGCCCTGAAGCAGGGATCGTGGGTTCGAATCCCACAGGAGTCATGGATGTTTGGTATGCGTATGTGTTTATTCTGTGTTTCTCTTATCCTGTGTTTAGGCAGAGGCCTTGCGACGAGCTGATCACCTGTCCAAGGAGTCCTACCGTCTGTAAAAACGATCATGAAACTGAGAAATCAGCCCTATGCCTATGCTCCAAAGTGGGAGCAAGATGAAGAAAAAATCTTGTAATCAAAAACCGAAAATGAAAAATGGATACACGTCTAGGCTTTGATTTAAATATTTAAGTTCTGAAGTACCGAACAAGTTGGTCTAGCGGTAACGCTCTAAACGTGAATTCGGGAGTGAGATCTAAAACCTCCTGACGATGGTACATTAATACAAAGACTGTATTTCTGGACATTATCCATCGCCATGTTTTGTCTGAAACACAGTACTGTTTTTTTTGTTTAGAAACACAACGTTTAGGAAACTGGACTCAACTGAGTAGGTTTTACATGAAGACGAAGACAAAATTCAGTCTCCGAAACGTGTTTTTAAATAAAAACAGGACGAAGGATAATGCCCAGAAACATAATACTTGTATGTATTCCACATGTTCTGGATTTGGATCTCAGCTGGGACATCGGCTGTCCTGACTGAAGTTTCTCGTAGTTTAACTCACCCCCTCCACACAGATGCTGGGATCGTACGTCGACCAGACCATAACCCCTTACTTCCAAAGCCCATCCAGTTTATTACTCATTTATCATCCTACATTGTAGTGTCCATATTGACAGAGTCCTTATATAACTATACCAACACCTATTTTTTTTTAATTCGTTTAGTGGAGGGTGGAGTCCAACTGGGTCCACTCGGCACGGCGGCCAGTGATTGGCCTATTTTAGCCTGCCCCGGGTGATTATGATGATGGAGAATTTGATGGAATGAAGATTGGCAGGGGAAACCGAAGTACTCGGAGAAAACCCGATTCTGGTTAACACAGCAAGAACACTAGGCACGGTTTGGGATATAGGCTGATTTATGAATTATGCCATTTTTTGCCTTACGGTAGGTGCATCCATATAAAACAGATCCAGCCAATGGGAACAACTGGTACTTATTTAACACTTTCTGAACTACAAAACTTTTCTGAAGATGATCCCCTGCCTGCCGTCATTTCCAGAGAGAACCAACACATCCCTCCCGCAAAAAACGATAGTTGCACGAATTTTACACATGTGGCTGCTCCACACTTCTCAAGAGCTAAAGGGTTACTTGAGCGCAGTCGATAGAGCAACTGGCTACGGGCAGGACTGCTGAGAAGTCGAAGTTCGAGTCCCGGTAGAAGTAAGATATAAATCATCTTCACTTCTTTCGGGCCATATCTCGGGCCTACCCAGCCTCCTATCCAAAGAATACCGAGGGCCTTTCCCGGGGGTAAAGCGACCTGGGCCCAAAGCTGACCACTCACTTCCAATCAGTGGCAAGGTCAAGAAATATGTGGCTGTATACATCTACTCCCCCATACGTCTTCAAGGCGTAGTGCTTAGTCAGTTAAGCACAGGCACAAATTTACCCTTTACATTTTATATAGTTAGGGCAAAGAAATTCAGATAGCCAGGAGATAATGACCACATTAAAGCGTACATTTCTCTTTTCTGATGATGTTAGCAAACAGTGAATTATTACGAGGTAGGAGTTCAAAACTTACATCCCTGCTAAAACATTAAAAACATAGATGCAAAGAAATGTGTTACACTCATTACAAACATGTAGAACTTGGGCTATATTTCGATGAGTGTAGCGAGAAAGTGTCAGTAATGCTGAACTGGTAAGAAATTGGAACTAGGCAGAGATCTGTTTGCAGATGTTATCCCAGAATCTGCCTATAGGGACTCGCGAGTCTGTCAGGTAAAGGGAACGGCTGAGATTTAAACAGGATAAACCCAAACAAGTTAAGAGCATTAATGCTACTCCATCAGGTACAATACGGCGACCAGTTACTTGTGCCTCTTTCGCTCGGACGATATTGTGAAATATTTACACCAGCAAGGATGCAATCTGATTCTGAGAAGTAAACCTATGGGCATATTCGTATCTCTCCAACTGATTCAAATTTAGTTGAGAGATTAATTTGTCTCAAAGCTCCGTTAATCTAATTTGCCTCTTTGCCACGTTAATGTTCGGTCTAACCCGTTCACTCCATCGTGGCAGGGCCGACCTTGAAAAGGTGTATCGGCTGAGGCAATTAAATCCAGTCCAAACCGTTCCACCTTTTATCTCGAAGATCAATTTTAATACCAACATTCCATTTGGCCGCGCCATAGCTCAAGCGATTAGTCGCTGGCTTCCCACCGCGGCGGCCCGGGTTCGATCCCGGGGCCTGGTCAAGTGGGATTTGTGGTGGACAAAGTGGGGTTTGGCGGGTTTTCTCCGAGTACTTCGGTTTCCCCTGTTAATCTTCATTCCACCAAATTCTCCATCATCATAATCACCCGGGACAGATACAATAGGCCAATCAGTGACCTCCGCGCTGAGTGGACCCAGCTGGACTCCACCCCCCACTAGCGAATTAACAAAAACACATTCCATTTGCGCATACGCAGACTAACATCAAATCCGAATTATCGTTTCTATCGAGATTTTCAGACCAAAACGTTGTATAAATTTCCCATTAGGTTTACATGTCACGCTAAAGCTCCCTGTCTCCCTGCTATGATAAGTGTAACAATGTTGGTGAACATAATCTTCATCACGCAGGTTTCGTCATTGTTTTGTTACTTTCGCTTTCTCGGGTCCAGATATTAGTTTTTGATCTAAGCGAGAGTAAGAGTGGAGGGAACTTCAATTTGAAGTATGCAGTTTATGAATTTCGGTATGGGGAGCTCTTTTTGAGATAATTTTGATTTTCGTGTAAAGTAAGGATCATAACTGACCGGTAAAAAGGTAAAGCTATCCCTGTAGCAGGCCGTGTAGGCCCATACGTTTGTGAGACGTCGAAGTTCTCATATTATTCAGACAATCGGCTCAGAGATGGCGGTGAGGTTGTCAGACTTACGCGCCGGCTACTGCACGCCAAAATTAACTTTTCTTTAATGCTAGTGGGGTAGGACTAAGTCCCTTGTACTGCGGCCACTTCTGGTCTATTGTACCAGCCCCAGATGATAGATGAGGGTGATTGTGAAGCAATTGGTGGAATGAAGATTGGCAGGGGAAACCGAAGTACTCGGAGAAAACCTGCCCCAGCGCCACTTTGTCCATCACAAATCCCACTTGACCAGACCCGGGATCGAACCCTGGCCGTCGCGGTGGGAAAACAGCGACTAACCGCTTGAGTTATGGCGCGGCCTTAAATTAACTTCGTACAGTAGCTTTCAGTACTTACTCCCAATAATAAATGTGATCTAAATACTTTATGGAGTCTCCGAGGTGATATACGAGTGCCGAGACACAAACTTACCGGGAACAGTCTCCATGTCATGTGTTCTCCGTGCACAGAACAGTAATAAAACACTGTGTCTTGCGAGACTTTGGCAATAGATGGCTTCGTGTGAGCGTCTGTGCGAAAGATGCTTAAATATGGAAATTCCACCAATTCCGCAGTACCTGCAACATTATCTTACTGCGAGTTTCTACGATCGTAAGTAATTTGAGACGCCGTACCTCCTGAACACGCAGAAGAAGAAGAACAAGGAGTATGTTCCATGCTGTGTGATGCATAATCCGTCTCAAGGGCATCTGTAAGTCCTCAAAGAATGACCTTCACTGAAACTTGCTTATTACACATGTTCCTGTATAAACCAATTAATTGCGGAATTGTTTGTACCGTACAATGAATGTTATACCTCATGTGCACATTGTACGAGTATGTATTGTTTCTTTGATACAACAGTAATCCTAATGACACTGTTTCTTTGAAGCTGTGACGCACGTTATTTTAAATATCAACAATTGTCTGTCTGCTTAGCACATAATTATTATTGTGAAATTAGCCGAGGTTCCCTTACGTCATGGTCATCGGATTGTACGGTGTAACCACCGTCTGAATAAACAAATGCAACTTTATCCCAGTATAGAATATTGGTGGGAAAGCGAGAAGGAAACAGACCACTGGGAAGACCAAGTCGTAGGTGGTGGACAATATTAAAATGGATCTTAGAGAGATAGGATGGGATGGTATGGACTGGATTGATCTGGCTCAGGATAGGGACCAGTGGAGGGCTCTTGTGAACACGGTAATGAACCTTCGGGTTCCATAAAACGCTGGGAAATTCTTGAGTAGCTGCAGATTTGGCTTCTCCTCAAGAACGGCTCAGCTCCATAAGTAAGTAAGCTACCCAAACGTCGAAACAGGCCTAGGACCTCTTAGTTACAAAGCAGCACTACTGGGCAGACTTCTATGTGTAGTATGTATCTATACAATTTGTTGATTTTACTTGTACAGACTGCAAATAAATCGGGAAATAGAATGAAAATGCTGCATATACTCACTGCACTTCCCCATGCCTCCTCCACGTCTTGCTCCTCGTGCAGGCAACCACCATTCTACCTCTCCCCGCTATTTGTCTCTGACTGCTGCAACCACGTGTCAACAAGTGGCGATAATGCCGACTGCTTGCCGCCGGCGGCTCTCTCATGCGGAAGACTTTCGCAGTAAAAATATACATAATCATCATCCGTGTAACAGCATGTAGCATAGCCGGTTTGCTCATACAGGAAGCACTACTATTCCCGTTTCCTACAATGTACATTACACAACATATCAAGAAACTCTAACCTTTCACTAGGCCGCGCCATAGCTCAAGCGGTTAGTCGCTGGCTTCCCACCGCGGCGGCCCGGGTTCGGTCCCGGGTCTGGTCAAGTGGGATTTGTGGTGGACAAAGTGGCGCTGGGGCAGGTTTTCTCCGAGTACTTCGATTTCCCCTGCCAATCTTCATTCCACCAATTGCTCCACAATCACCCTCACCTATCATCTGGGGCTGGTACAATAGGCCAGAAGTGGCCGCAGTACAAGGGACTTAGTCCCACCCAACTAGCAATAAAGAAAACTTTCACTTTCTCACATGCCGGTCACAGTGGCCGCGCTGTCAAAGGCATGAAATGTCTTCGGCCGCTCGAACGCTGGTATCGTGGGTTTGAAGCCGACTCAAGGCATGGATGTTTGTCTGCGTTTATTCTGTTTGTGTGTTGTCCTGTGTGGGTAGCGGCCTTGCGTCGGCCTTATCCCCCGTCTGAAGAGACCTACCGATCGTATAATATTAAGGAGCTGATTTGAAATGAAGCGATTCACGGATGCCCTAGGAATAACAGGAATAGATACGTATATAGACGGCATCATACGTTATTTATCTAGTTCGAGTCAGCTGGCAGTTCTCCAATACGCAGTATTCTCCAACTTCCTTTTACTTTACTTCCTTTATCTGTCCCAGTATACTCGTTGGCAGTACCACTTGTACTGCCGCACTTCATGTAATCTGAAACTTCTCTTGTGCCTATGCAACACACCAAAAAGTTGGTGAAGACGCCCCGGGTTTTCGTAATGTTGGCACTTGCTGGCGGTGGCTGTTTAGCCCTCGTGTCCGTTTTTCACACCCTAAGGTCGAAAGTTCTCATACTAACTCACAGGTGACCGTGTGGGCTTCACAACTGTGGATATGATGGGAAAGAGAAGAATATCCCGTCGCTGTCGGAGATTGAACCCCGTTTTGTAATTCGTAGTTGATCAACATACAGACTGAACCACCCCGACCCTCTTCGTGCTACCGGATTGTTCTCTGCAGTGCACAAAAACGTCTTGGACAGGTCTACCACGTTAATGATACGTAAGCCCGTATCATGACAAGTTCTGCGCCAACGCTTACGTTACCCCATCACGAAATAAGTCGATATTCTCTTCGTTAGAAACCCTCAGGACAGAGCCGGAGACGAAACTCTCCGTGATGGGACGTTCTTTGTCATGCATGGGCTGAAATGCTCCTAAAAAGGCCATGCTCCAGGGGAGAACGAAATGTTTTCGGGTAGCGAGCAACAACACAAAGGCGGGCCTGATTCCGCGTTCGGCACAGAGGCAGGTCAACACACCGCAACAAGCGCGCTGAATGTACTTGGTGTTCTGCACTGCCGATAGGGCACGCCCATCCGTCCGGCCGTGGCTGCAGACCGGTCACACACTGACAGGAACATAACAGACATCACATACATTCATAGGCCTATACACTTTCACGCATACAACAGTACGCAGACATTAAGGGGCACTATGCTACAAGCCGGAAGGTCGCGGGTTCGAGTCCCGATGAGGTGGCTATTTTCAATCGACCTAATCCTTCCAGCAGCAAAATGGCCATAGGGTCGACTCAGCCTCTAACAGAAATGAGTTCCAGAAATCTTCCTGGGGAGTAATGGGCGGCCGGCGCGTAAGGCTCACAGATTTACCGCTATCTGTGAGCCGAATGTCTAGATCAGGCATGTCAGACTCAACTTGTACTATAAACAATAGTCCAGGGCCGCAGTTCAAAATAGAAATATACATTAGATTTTGATACAAGGAAATTTACTTCTATTTATTATTTAGGAATAACTTCAATATAATTACCTAACGTCACATATCTTACAGTTTTAAAAAGCAAGAGAATGCCATTTTTGACAAGTATCAAACAGCTTTTCAATATGTAAAAAGAGAGATTACACAAGAAATTATGTTAGAAATAGCAAAACATTGAATTTCCTGCAGCCTGCTAATTTATGTCTGCGTGAGACTTCTTGTTTTCTGGTCTGTTGGAAAATTGTCTTTACAAAAAATATTTCTACTAAAATTTTAATATTGATTTTAATATCAATTAGCTCTAAAAGTTGATGGACCGCACTTTGTGGCTATGGGGGCCACATGTTTGACACGGCTGGTCTAGATAATGTGGGACCCTAAACGTCTCATAACCCTATGGGCCTCCATGGCCTGTTAGAGGGATAGCTTTACCGTTACGCAGATATAAATGTACACATACAAGAACACACGAACGCGCGCGCGGGCGCCCACCCATGCATATACGAGCAGATACACATGTACACGTACACACTCAGAGAAAAACTCACGCACGTAGTAGACGTCTGGATTATCCGGGAATATCCGTGTTTGTGAAACGTACGTGTATTCCAGTAATGTCTTTCGGGATTTCGAATTTTCACTTTTGTGAACGTTTACAGATTTTAAGTACAAAGTACAAAACACACGGCTATAAAACAAACATTTAGGCCCTTCTGTCTCTTAATATTTTCATGCATACGTGTAACTATAGAGGGAGTTTGGACTGGAGATCGGATTTATTGACCACTTAAAAGATCGTAAGAACAAGTAAATATAACACCATCGCTAATTTCCACGCTTTAAAAATCAGTACAGCACATGCTAAGTCTTTTCAGTATACTGTGTCTTCACCGGTCGCTGCCTGATAACGGCTTCTAACAATTGGGATTCTTCAGCACTTCTTGTTTGTCGGCTTGGTTCTTCAAAGGTTTTATTCGTTCATTTTTTCCTTTCTTTCGTAATAGAAATGGGACATTGTTCGAGTCCTTGTGTTCCTCGTTACGTGGCAGAAGCCAGGATGCTCAATCATCACAGTGACTGCCTACAAGCTGGATGGCCATTGTTCTGTTCCCGCCAGGGGCAAGATACGCTACATGTCTGTGCTCAGAGAGACTTTGGGTGTCACTGAACCTTCTATCCAATGGGTATCGAGGGCTCTTTTACCAGTGGTAAAGTGGCCTGTGTTGTGAAGCTGACCACTTACCTGCTCGTTACCTGCCTAGACAAAGAACTTGTCTTCATAGTGCGGTGGCCTAGTTCGTACTGGGACAACTTTACCTTTACTGTTTTCATTTTATGCATCCTGCTGTGTTACAATATATACAACTTAGTTACTATAGGATTCTGACGATGGTGTATAACACACTGATATATTGGGTTTTCGGACTTTATCCATCGTCCTGGTTTTTAAGATAACTAATAAAAACACGACGTTTCGGAAACTGGAAACA